ATATTTATTGCATAATCATGCAGTAGACTTTGGATCCAGATTATTTGAGAAGTACATGCAGCAGCCGCAACATACTCTGCTTCAGCAGTGGAAATTGCAGTACATGTTTGCTTTTTTGACTGCCAACTAACAAGCTTCCCATCTAATAATTGACATCCACCACTTGTACTTTTTCGATCAATATTGAACCTCCCAAATCTGAATCTGAGTATGCTTAAATGAAAAATCCTGATTTCAAAGGATACCACAATCCTAACGAAATTGTTCCTTTGAGATATTGAAATATATTTTTCACAGTAGTTAAGTGAGGTTCTATGGGATTTTCTTGATACCTAGCACAATTACAAACAGAAAACATGATGTCAGGTTGACTTGCAGTAAGATAAAGCAATAAACCTATCACGCTCCTGTATAAAGTAAGATCAACAACAGTTTTATCTAATGAAGATGTAAGCCTTGTTCCAACCGCCATTGGTACTCTTAACTTTGTACTATTCGTAAATCCAAACTTTTCAAGCAAATTCTTGGTATATTTTTATTGATTGATAAAGATGCCTTCTCTACTTTGACGAATATTTAATACCAGAAAATTGTTAATTTTTCCCATCATACTCATCTCAAACTGACTTTTCATCAAAATTTGAAATTCACTAGACAAAGCAGGATCAGTAGAGCCAAAAATAATATCATCAACATAAATTTGAACAAGCATTAGATGATCCCCAACTTTCTTTCGAAATAACATGGGGTCAATTGATCCTTGTTTATTTTAAGAAATTGGTAAGAGTTGCATACCAGGCTCTTGGTGCTTGTTCTAACCCATAAACAACTTTATGTAAGATATAACAATGATCAGGATATTCTTCATTTACAAAACCTGGAGGTTGTTCAACGTAAACTGTTTCTTCAAGTTTGCCGTTGAGAAAATCACATTTGACATCTATTTAATATACATCAAAATACTTGTGAGCTGCATAGGCTAAAAATATTTGAACAACCTCGAGTATTGTGACAGGGGTAAAGGTGTGACATCCCCTAATTTCTCGGCCAGAAAACACCAATTTAATTTATGCTTCTAAAATAAAATCAGAGTAATCCTTTCAAAAGATGTTGCGGAATTTGTTCCCAAAAAAAAACATGATAAAAATTTATCAAAACCTTTCTTTAAGAAATATATATTTTCATTTTATATCAAAACCTCGGGATGTAATGTTCCGATACAGATCAAAAGCATAAACAAGACATTATAATCCTTACAACAGTTATTTACAACTACTGGCCTATAATCCATAAATCACTCATCATCATCCGACTATGCTCGGGGTCCACTACCTGTCATATAAAAAGCTACGTGGGTCAGGCTTGGGAGCCTTGTGAGCATATAGGGTTTTCAACCTACAATAAATAATAAACTTATTAAGTTTATCAGTAAACAATATTTTTATTAATTTCATCAACCAAAAATAACCCTAATTACCCATTCCCATCATCCTCACTTTACGTCCCTAAAACAACTATCACAAGGGACCTAGCCTAAGGATTTTCATTAGGGGGACAACATTGCTTCGGAGGTGCCTCAGCAATTTATGTCATATAAGGCAACCATCGGGGTGACAACACTGCTTTCCTCAGCAACTTATGTCAAATAAGACAACCAATGGGGTGACAACATTGCTTTAATCAACAATTTATGTCAAACAAGACAACCAATAAGGTGACAACATTGCTTTCCTCAGCAATTTATGTCAATCAAGAGAACCTCACATAAAACAACGAATAAGGTGACAACATTGCTTTCCTCAGCAATTTATGTCAAACAAGACAAACATCGGGGTGACAACACTGCTTTTCCTCAGTAAATTATGTCAAACAGGCACGAAGTCACATCGTCGCCAAGGTTTATACAACAAGCACTAAGTCCATAGCTACCAACGTACTAAATCCATAGCTACCAGCGTACATCTATACTGTACTAAATTCATAGCTACCAACATACATCTATACTGTACTTTTATCCTTCATTCTTTATCTACCCATGTTTTACCCAACATATTTGAAGATAAAATATATATACATTTTAAATTATTTTAAACATGTATAAAACATCCATTCAACATCCATTTCAAAAAAAAAACAACATATATACACATAGCACGTATTTTATATAAAATACCTCATATCTATGTGTAAGATGTAAGTGACTATACACTCACTTGATTTAATGATAATCAGGCAGTTGTTCGTTTCCTAAAACGATCGTTTCTAAGAAAACCGGGAGTTTTATTGAGAAACCGGGCTCTACGAGGGATGGGCTTTAATACTGAAAAGATAATTTCCCGGGCTTCTCGGGCACTCCGGGGCATGTTTCGGATGTTATAATTGATACCGGGGCTTCGGAGGATGTCATAATGGTGAAAATATTGAAAAAGTGGTGAAAATCGAAAATTTTCCAAAAGTACCCGGGAAGGCTCGCAAGCCTTGTATTTATAGGGTGAGGTCCGAAGGGCGAGTCAGTAGCGAAGACACGAGGCAGCAGGAGGCGAAGGCATGTGGCGTCTGCGGAGCGAAGCAGCTGGCTCGGATGCGAGAGTCACTGTAACACGTGTCGGATTCTTTTTGGACCACTTCGGACGGCTCTCCGGTTCAGACATGCTTCTTATGACACATCGAGATCGGACACGGGGCAGCCTCCGATTGGACCGAACCTCGGACTCGAGAAGAACGCGACACGCCTCGCCAGGTGGCCTCGGGTGACTCATCAATTCTAACACGTGGCACAAATGCATCGAAGGTGACGTGCCCGAAGCCACCTATGCGAAATTTCTCGGATTTTGGGATTTTCTCGATTTTTGTGCAAAAACTTCTAAAATCCATAACATTTGCATACGAACTCCGTTTTTGACGTTCTTTATATGCACGCTTAGGTAAAATTACGCTCTACAACTTTCGTTTAGACTTCGTCGACTAATTTTTTCTTTAATTTTTATATTATTATTTTTAACAGACCGGAATAGGAAATCCGTTAAAAATTCATAACTTCTTCATTCGACGTTCGTTTTTGTCTGTCTTTTTACCGTTGTACTACTATTGACGAGACCTTCGATTCTCGTTTAGGTTGTGTTGGCTAAAAATTACTTGATCTAAAATTCGAGTTTTTAGCTGTCTACTGCTAAGCTGGAACTTAGAAAAATCATAATTTCGTCATACGAAGTCAGATTTGGGCGTTCTTTTTATACATACTCTCAGTTTAGCGAACACTACGAATTTCGTTTAGATTACTAAGGCTAAAAAATAGTTTATCAAAAACTCAGTTTTTACATCATTCAACACTGTGTCGGTTTTGTCGCGAAACTTCGACAGGTCATAAGTTCTTCGTTATAGCTCGGATTTCGGTATTCTGTATATATCCGTAATCCTTGTCACGACCACTACAAATTTCTTAATAGACATCGGCTTTATCTAATATTTATTTCTGACGCTCATTTTTATTCTTAATTAATTAAATCCTAATAATTAAACATAAAACACATAATTCAAATAATATTCACATAATTCCTTTTCATTTCTTCAAAATGAGTTACAAAGGTTAACCTAGACTATTATGTCAATATTATTGCCTAGCCTAGAAACACGAGCGTTACAATTCTCTCCCCCTTAGGATGATTCTGTCCTCGGAATCATGTCACCCTTCGTTTTCCAGGTGAGATTTGGCCCATTCGTATGTTTCCAACGCACAAGCACTAAATCGACAATCTTGCGTCGCAACCTCTTAGTCTTACGGTCAACGATTGCCTCAGGTTCTTCAATTAACCTCTTGTTTTCATCCAACCTTAATTCAGAAATGGGAATTATCTCGAACACATCTCCCCTGAACTTTCTCAACTAACAAACATGAAAGGTATTATGAATACCCTCCAGTTCTTCCGGTAATTCTAGCTTGTAAGCTTGATTCCTGATCCTTTGAAGAACTTTAAATTGTCCAATAAACCTTGGACTCAACTTTCCTCTTCTACCAAATCTTATAAGTCCCTTCCATGGCGACACTTTAAGTAAAACCGAATCTCCAACTTCGAAAGATATCGGTTGTCTTTTCTTGTCAACATAGCTCTTTTGACAATCTTGAGCAGCTAACATCCTTTCACTAATCACTTTCAACTTTTCAGCAGTCTAATCGACTATTTTAGGTCCCACCACTACTAGAAAAACAGCCTTTTACGATGCACAATGCGCGTCGTAAAACGCTCAGACGACGCGCAAATGCGCGTCAAGGAAGGCCCTGTCATAACGAGAGACGAAGCGCTTTTGCGTGTCGTCTATTTACGACGCGCTCTTACGACACCCAATGTGTGTCAATGAAGGCCCTGTCATAAAGACAACGACACGCATTTGCATGTCGTAACCTTACGACGCGCATTTAGGACGCGCATTGCGTATCATTAAAGCCCCCGTCATAAATATAGACGACATACAATTTTTTGTGTCATAAAGATAAACGTTTTAGAATTTATATATTTTGATAGATTTACTAGTTTTCAAATTAAATAACACATTAAAAATCTCATAATACAAAATAAAATTCCATAAATAACAAAGATAATTCATTTCACTAATATATCAAATACAAATAATTATTCCAATAGTGAGTAAATGTTATTAAAAAATGAACTCAAGAGAAGCACAATTTATATACAATTGCATTCTCTAGCTTACTATGTGCCAACAACTCTCTGTTTGTTTGCGTTTGCTTGAGTCTCATTTCCTCCAAAGCTTCTACCATGCCAAAGTATGATATCTTACGATTCATGTCCAAATCTAGTAAAACATTGCTAGCTTAAATTCATCAAGTCCTTGGCGTGAAGTCTTAGATAGAAGCTTAATTGCAATCTCCAATCCTTCTAGCAGACCTTAAAGATCATTATTGGCCATGTAGCAGGATTAACGTGCGAAAATTGGATAAGTTAAGAATATGCAACAAGATTGGTGAAAACACATAAATGCCCCTACCTTGTATTCAACAGTCGCAATGTTTTGGCAGGATATGGAATTGAAGAAGAATTAGAATCTGTCACGCGTTTTGAGAGCAATAAGTAGCTGACTGGGCCAACAAAGACCTGGACAGTTTCAACTCCAAGCTGGATTACAAATAACCAACCAACATATTAACAAAAAAAGATTTCTAAATCCTGTTTAAAAGAATCAGGAAAGAGCATATCAAGAACACATATAGCCTTAGCCTCCTTGTATTCGGTCACAACCTTGTGAGAAGCATAAGAGAACTGCACACCAGGGCCCAAGTCTAGGACAATGAAGTGGCTGTTCATCAACACATCAGTATTAGAATTTGGTTACGACTCAAACTGACAACATCCGAAAAAACTAAAGGGTAAATATGAAGCTTACTAGTTGGTGTCAAACCACTTGGTCATTTCCATAGCAAGGACAGAGGCATTTCAGACAATATAAACTTTTTGTGCTGAACCATCAAAGCCAAAAGATCTCCATGAAAATGACTCCATGTTGCACTTCTCCCTGTAGAAAAGGTAATATAAAATGTTATAAGGCGACTCAAATATTAGCTAACTAGATCCAATACAACTCAAATTAGCTACCCATATTTTTTGTGTTGAACCTTCAATACAGCTCATTGCAGCCACTCGTATTTCCTGGTGATTACTAGACAATGGAACAAGAACTGAATAAAATAGTTACTTACACAGAAGTGTAGACTTTCTTTTTGGACAACATCAGCAACACCTACAATCAGAGAAGTCTTGTAAGAATACCCTTTTGCTGATGCTGGTGTTGCAATAGTTGTCCATGGATCATCCTCATCAACAACACTCCCACTCCCACTCCCTCCTGCTGCTGCTTTCACATTCGAATTTGAAGACCTTTAAGCCAATTTTGGGGCAGGGGCAGTTATTGAGCCCCATAAATCATCATCTGCATCTGTGCTCACATGTGACCTAGATTTCGGCCGAGGAATTGATCCTGGAAAGAAAAAACAAATACAATTCTATAAAATTAACAAACAAATAAATATATCATAAAAGTTAGAAAATAAATAAATAAATAATACCTTGTGGTTTTGTGTGTATGACAAGCCGTTTTTGAGCTGCTTCGATGTTTGCAAGAGCAGGTGGCAGCTTTTCGTCTTCTAGTGGCAACATATCGTCCCACCCGTCTTTTTCAATCTCTTCATCTTCATGAATACCGATACTGTTCTCGGGCTCCCCCCATTCTTCAGTCGAGGTAGGTGACACCGGTGCAGGTTGATCCGCCATGTCACCACCATAATCTGAACTTCCACATCGGACTAGTGTTGTTGTACTTTGGGTATGTGTACGTGATACTACTACTAAGATGATACAAATCCAGTAATTATTTTACCATAAAAAAATTAAAATTATGTATGTCTCTAGTGTAGTGTTTGTTACAACAATGTTTACCTGTAGTGGGGACAACAGAAACAAGAGGTGAGGTGGATTTTGGAGGCATTGCTTGTGTGGTTTGTTCAGAGGGTTTGCCTTTTGTTGTCAAAGAGTTCATTGCCCATCTGTATTATAAAATTATAAATTACAATTGCATGTATTGTTGGTTGGGTTTCAGTCTTACCTTTTAAAGCCAACAAGAAGCAAAATAAATAGATTACATACCCAAGTATACTTGCGTTCCCTGGAAGTGATGAAATTGTGGACCCCATACCCTCACTGCTATCCCCACCAGATGTCTACAAAAACATAGTATTAAACACGTTGTTTAATAATAACCAATGATATATAATATAATATAGCCAAGGATTCCAAAAAGAAAATGAAACAACAACCTTTTCATGGTACTGCTTAACTATCTGCAAAAACTGTTCAACTGCTTGGAAAGCCTTTGACCGGACATCACTGTAGAAAATCAAAAAAATTTAATTTTAATTTGGAAAATTAAACACTAGCTAATACAACTAAAGGAAAATAAGATAACCTGTCAGGATCAATTGTGGGTACAACAACATTTGGAAGTATACGAGCTGCAATCTCTTGGGGTTCATAATACGAGCTAGTGGCACACAGAGCCATTATACCTGCCACCCCCAGAATGAGTATTTGTATTTTAGAAAAAAATATTTATATATAGAAAGAAAGATTTATAATTAATTAAGTAATTTCATTGGGGGAAAATATAAAACCAAAGTAAATTGACCTGCTCCTCTAGCAGGAGGAAATGTATCACGCACAGTGAACGCATTAATCAACACTCTCTTGCGTGTCTGCAATTTTATTAACCATAAATAAATGAATAAATAAATGCATTTGCTTCAAGGAAAGAAAGGAGTTTTGAAATAATCAGTTAGTATTTTACTAAAAAATGCAAATGGGGGGTTTTACTAACTATGAGATAAATTCATTTCAACAAAGATATGGGAAAAGCATTTACAGGTTTGAGATTAATATATTTTAATAAAACTTACCATATGATTCCCATGTATGGTGGCCCTTGATAGGTAGCTATGTTTCATCTACTATCATGCCCAAAAAAGAGAAATTAAATATTAGCAATTTTCAAAATATGCAAGAAAATATTTTGAAACTAAACCTAGTTCAAACAGAGTATAATTTGAACCTTTAAACCATCAAGACCATTTGCATCTGCATGTCTACAGCCTGTTCAATATGAACACAAACAAGAATCACTGATTATTCATTGGATTTTAGCATTCATATAATGTTATTGATGTAGAGCATACCTGCTAGGAATTGTTGATGAGCAGCAGCCACGAGTGGAAGAGGAAATATAAGCGACTTGGCTGTGTCTAAAACAGTCCCCTGTAATACACAAGAGCGATTGTCACCAGCTTCTTCAATACCTCTGCGACAAGAGCATATGCATTATCCGACAAACTAAAACAACAAAGTTTATAGTTTAACACAACATGTTCCCATATGATTTAACATATAATGAGAAAAGTGAAGTGAAGTAGTGATCACATACCATTCATGTGCAAGCATTGAGCATAGAAGACATAGTTCTGCTTGTGGTAAGTTTAGCAGCATAATGTGGGAGTCATATTCTGTATTAGCACCGGAAGATGAGGGCTTAGAGGCATGATCAGCTTTGGGTGATTTGGTATTTGAGCCTAAGCCACCAGCAGCATCAACATTTAGTGTGGACATCTGAGTAGGTTATTCTTCAGGAGCAGGAGCTTGCTTGCTTTCCGCATTGTCAATGATCACATCTAACAAGTTCAGCAGCTGAAACGCAGCAGATCAAACAACAATTAGGGAAGAAGAAAAGAAAAATACATTTATGATTTTACCAAAAGAAACGAATGTGCGAATTCTACCTGCTCAAGATGTGCAAGAACTACTTCAAAACACAATAACACATAAAAGAACAATACATGTAATCTACCTCAATGTTATTGCTATTATACATTACACTTCAAATTTAATAAAAACATGTGTAGTCCCTTGCTCAAAATATATAATATAGCGTGAAAATGCAAGAGTCACTCATTGGGACATTTTATCAAACAGTTGGTGTTCACCAAAAAGTATCCCTAAACAGGCAGTGATTAATTATTCAAAGATTACCAGGTTGTTGTCTTATGAAGTAACAAAGCAACCAGAAGTAACAAGCAGTAGCCCGAGTTGTAGGAGCGTAGAAAAATAAAATATCAACTGTGTTTAGAAGATTCAAAAGATTTACAAACAGCGTAATTCATAAAAACAAAGTGTTTACTGATGACTATACTAAGATTTGATTACTCACCTGCATATATAAATGCGTGATGGTTCCATCATTGGCAGTGGGTAACAAGTTCACGACATCAACCACTCTATAGTCACGAAACCTTGTAGTGAGATTCTTAAGGGTTTCAACGACCCTATTAGGCTTGAGAGTAACCAAGTCGCAGGGTTGTGATGCCATACCGGGAATCCATAGCCAAGTTGGGTGAAGGAACACTTATTAACTCCACGCCGGAGTACTTGATCTGAGATACGAGCTTGGTTGCGTTATTCTTTAGGATAAACAAAAGGGATTCGGTAGTGGTGGAGGTGGATTAGGGTTTACAGAGAAAAGGAGAAGGAGACAGTGAAGGTTGTCTGGCTGGTGGAGAGGATAAACTCGTTATTCCTTCCCGAACAGCAACAACTTGATCAGAGAATAAAACCTGCAAACGAGGTCCAAGGTTTACATGGAAACCTTAAAAGATGGATGAAACGTGGGTTTTTAATTTTTTAGGATCTCATTTTCCCCCTGCCATTAAAAGATGGAACGCGCGTTCCACTAAAATTTATAAAGCGACAACCTTAGACGACACCCACTTTATTAGTGGTGCCCTCCGTGTTTTTTTAGACATTAATTTAAGGGCACGCAGTAATACGTGACCTAAATCTTTAAATCTTTTGAAGAGACGACACTTTTTTAACATCACTCTCTTTTGCATAACATAAATCATTGAGTGTCGTCCTTTGCGCGTCGTAAAAGGGTCCTTTTCTTGTAGTGCACAAACTGCTTTTCCCCTACCTCCAGTCAACATGACGGTGTTCGACACTTTTCTCCATACATAGCATGAGAAGGTGCCATCCTGATGTTCGAGTGGAAACTATCATTATAGGAAAATTCTAGTAAAGCTAAGTGCTCATCCAAGTTACATTGGAATTCTAGGATACATGCTCTTAACATATCCTCTAATGTTTGAATTGTTCGTTCGCTTTGACCATCAGTTTGTGGATGGTAAGTTGTATTCAAACACAACTTGGTACCCAATTCCTCTTATAGACTCCTCCAAAACCTTGAGGTAAAACGGCTGTCCCGATCTGATACAACCGTTAACGGAACACCGAGAAGCCTCACAATTTCCTTCACGTAAGAACTCGCAAGTTTATCCATAGACCATTTCTCGTTCGCTGCTATGAAATGCACACTCTTAGTGAAGTGATCAACGACCACCTAAATCATGTCGTGACCATTCCTTGTTGTGGGCAGTTTAGTCACAAAATCCATAGTGATGTCCCATTTACCCATGGGTATAGGTAAAGGTTCTGAACTCCAATACGGTTTCTGATGTTGTGCTTTAACCCTAGCACATGTTACATACTCGGGCACATACTTAGCAACATCGAGATTCATCGTCGGCCACCAGTAATAGGGCTTTAGATCCCTATACATTTTTGTACTGTTGGGATGAATCGAGTACATGGTCTTGTGAGCTTCTTCCATCAGAAGATCTCTTACTCCTCCCGTCTTAGGTACCTAAATCCTATCGTTGAATACCTTCAGCCCTTGACCGCTTGTATCAAACACTAACGTTTTTCCCCAAACATTCTTCGTTTCGATCATTTTTCTCTAAAGCTCCCTCTTGATCTTTCTTTATACTTTTCACAATTATCAAGACAACTTCAATCCTCAATGCTCTTGCCCTTTTCATTTCAAGATTTACCTTCCGACTAAGAGCATTAGCAGCAACATTTGCTTTACCAAGGCGGTAAAGTATCTCACAGTCGTAGTCCTTAAGTAACTCTAGCAGCGCTGTTGCCTGATCTTCAATTTCTTCTGATTAAAGAGATATTGAAGGCTCTTATGATCAGTGAAAAGTTTGCATTTAGTACCATAAAGAGAGCGCCTCCATATCTTTAAGGCGGATACTACCGCTGCCAGCTCCAAATCATGAGTGGGGTAGTTCTTTTCAAGCTTCAATTACCTCGATGCATATGCTATCACTTTATCCCTTTGGGTCAGAACACAACCTAACCCAACTCCAGAGGCATCACTATAAATTGTGAAGTCATCAACTCCTTCAGGTAACGAAGGAATCGGTTGTTCACACAATCTCTTCTTTAATTTCTCAAAAGCTTCCTTATGCTTCTCATTCCAAATATAAATAGCTCATTTGTGGGTCAAAGCTTTAAATGGAGTAGCGATCAAAGAAAAGCCTTGGATAAACCTTCGGTAATATCCAACTATTTCTAAAAAGCTTCAGATCTGCGTAGGACTTTCAATCGTAACCTTCAAGTTACAAAATAAATCCTTATTGAGGAATCATTCTTCTTATTAGAGTAAGTACTTACCTTCATTTATTGTAACAGACCGACGGATCGTGTTCTAATGATCTCTCATCGTATAATTCAATACTTAGACTCAGATCTCCTAGGGACAAATTTCGGAACAAACTATAGCTTCCTTCATGTTCTAATATGATACAATCACGATTCAACATTTATCATTTCTAACTACCAACTTGTAACGCTTGTGTTTCTGGGCTTGCCATTTTTAGCAATGTAATTGTCTAGGTTAACCTTTGTAACCCGTTTTGAAATATTAGAAGTGTATTATTTGAGTATTATGTGTTTTGTGCTTAATTGCTTAATTATGTGGTTTGATTAATTAAGAATAAAAATAAGCATCAAAATTTAAGTGTAAAATAAACTTGATATCTTTAGATAATGTTGTAGTAGTTGAAACAAGGTTTCCGAAGATATAAAGAATGCCGAAATCCGAGTTATAACTAGGAAGTTATGACCTGTCGAAGTTTCGCGATAGAACCGGCACCGCTGAATAACGTAAAAAGTGAAATTTACGTTAGAGCGATATTTAGCCTTAGTGATCTAAACGAGAATCAAAGATTTCGTTGTTAGTATCAAAGCGATAAAAAGTTAGGCGAGAACGGACGTCAAACGAAGAAGTTATGAATTTATAACGAAATTTTCTGTCCCGACCTATTAAAAATAAATAATAAAAATAAAATCAAAATTAGCCGATGGAGTCTAAACGAAAGTTGTAGAGCGTAGTTGCACCTTCGCGTGGATATAAAGAACGTCAAAAACGGAGTTCGTATGAACAAGATATGAATTTCCGAAGTTTATTAAATAATTTATATTTAATTTTAAGTGGAAAATCCGGCCTTATCCGAAGGCGAGTCACCGGACTTATCCGAGTATTCCCCGCGTACAGCGAAGATGTCGACACTCGCACTCGAGGACTTCGGATGACGAACGCAGTGACGATTTCGGACCAGTACGCCCCGCGTACTGGCGTACGCCCCGCATACTCCGAGGCATCAGCCTCCTATAAATAGGATGCGAGGCTGCCGAGTTTTTTTGCTATTTTTCTCCATTCTCTCTCCTGTTTTGCCTCGATTTGCGTGCCAGAAATACGCCGAAGCCCCGGTAATATTCCCGAGTGCCGAAGCAAGTCCCGAGATCCCGAAGATCCCGAGAAGTGCGGTTTCCGAGCCGAAGCTCTGCCCGTGAGAAGTTCGATTTTTGTAGAGATCTTCCAGATCTGCTAAGGATTACTACTTTTGCAAGTCGTAGTGCTGTCCGATCATCTTCTGATCAAGTGAGTGTATAATACCTTTCATAAAAGCAATAATAATTCAAGTATGGTTTGAGTATATTAAGTATATTGTTGTTTATACGTGAGAGTGCGTTGTTACTTTCTCCTAACGTATAATTATGAAGTATTTTATACGAGATACGTGTTATGTGTATATTTTGTTGTTATGTGTGTGAATGTATATTCACTTTCTTCTATCTTACAGATATGATTATTTTTATATGAAATATGTGTTATGTGTGTGTGCCTCATCTGTTATATGGAAAATGTATTGATCAAGCATGCTATATAGGTTTCAAAAATATGTATAAAAATGTATGTTTTTATCTAGTAATATGTTGGGTAGAACATGGGTAGATAGTTGGTGTGTAATAAACAGATGAGAGGCCTCGTTGTTGTTTTGATCCAATCATCTAGCAGAATTTAGATGATGACCACCGACTTTTCTAGACAGTGTAGTGGAACGCTAGCAGGCTCATAACCTGTAGGTGTTAATGAACTTGGGTGTTCATTCGCTGTATTCCATCCCCCTCATGGTTGCCTTATTTGACTTATATTGCTGAGGAACCCCCGCAACATGTGTTGTCACCCCGATGAAAATATTCTTAGATTAGGTCCCTTGTGTTAGTTATTTTAGGGACTTAAAGTGAGAATAACGGGAATGGGTAACTGGGTTATTATTGGTTGATAATAATTAATTTAATTATTTATTGTGGGTTGAAAACCCTATATGCTCACCAGGCTCCCAAGCCCGACCCAATCAGTTTTATTTGTATTACAGGAAGTGGCGCAAGGGCGTAAGATGGATGAACCATCAAGTTGTTTTGTTTAG